ACAGCAACCTCAAACTCTTGGGCTTAAACTCCTTTGCCTCAGCCTCCCAAGTAGCTGGGACTACAGACGCTTGCCACAACACCCAGCTATTTTTTGGTTATAGTTGTCATTGTTGTTTGGTGGGCCTAGGCTGGATTCGAACCCACCAGCTCTCGTGTATGTGGGTAGCACCCTAGCCACTTGAGCTACAGGCGCTGAGCCTACAATTTTTTTTTTAACTTACTATCCTCCCTGTATCTTTTTCTTCTGGCTGCTGCTTAAATGTTGATGTCCTTCAAGGTTTTCTCTCATTCTTTGCCACCTTCAGATAGCCTCTACTTCAGTGGTTCTCAACCTTCCTAATGCTATGGCCCTTTAATACAGTTCCTGTGGGTCATGACACACAGTTGAGAACTGCTGCTCTACTTTCACATGATTTCATCTACCACCATAATCAGATGATTCCTATATCTCTACCTGTTGTTCAGATCTCTCTAGTTCAATTGTATATTACATATTTCCATTTGGATGTCCCACAAGAATGTCAAGATCTGTATAGCCAAACTTATTCTGTATTCCTTATTATGATGAGTGACACCATGCCATCATTTTCAAAAACATTTGGGGGTCAGTGTGGTGGCTCAGGCCTGTAATCCTAGCACTCTGGGAGGCAGAGGCCGGTGGACTGCTTGAGCTCATGGGTTGGAGACCAACCTCAGCGAGAGCAAGACCTCATCTCTACTAAAAATACAACAAACTGAGGCAAGAGGATTGCTTAAGCCCAAGAGTTGGAGGTTGCTGCTTGCTGGCCACGTGGGCAGGAGATGGGCGGCAAGGGATTCTACTCAGGGTAACAGCTTGAGACTCTTGTTGTCAAAGAAAAAAAAAAATTGTAGAGCAATTACTATGTACCAGGCACTGGGACTACAGTAAGTAGTAAAAAGCACAGACAAGATCTCTGTCCTCTAGACAGATATGAAATAAACAAGATCATTCCAGATTGTGATAAATGCTATGACAAAAATAGTGATGACAGAGATAGAATAACTGGAGAGGTTTCTTACAGCAGGAAGATCAGAGAAGGACTTTCTGCAAAGGTAATATTTGAATTTTGATATGAAGGACAAAAAGAAACTATCGTGCAAAGTGTGGAAAGAACACTGTAGGTAGAATAGTAAGTAATAAAAAACCTAAGCAGGAAAAAGCTTAGTAGCCTTAGAGGGCAAGTAGCAATGAAGTTAATGAGAGCTAATGAGAATGGCATGAAAGGGTTGGGGGGAGGTAGGAGTCAGTCTATGAAGGGCTCTGGAGCCCATGGTAAGGAGGTAGGCCTTATTCTAAAAACAAGAAGCCATTAAAGAGATTTCAATGGAAGGGAGTGGTGTCACGATCTGAATTATTTTTTTTCTGAGACAGAGTCTCACTCTGTCACCTTGGGTGGAGTGCAGTCATCATTGTTCACTGCAACCTCAAACTCCTGGGCTCAAGTGATCCTCCAGCCTCAGTCTCCCAGGTAGCTGAAAATATGTCAATGTGCCCTCATGCCTAGCTAATATTTCCCTTTTTAGTAGAGATGGGGTTTCACTCTTGCACAGGTTAAAATACTGAGCTCAAGTAATCCTCTCATAGGGTGGCACCTGTGGCTAAGGAGAAGCGTGCCGGCCTCATATACTGGGGATGGTGGGTTTAAGCCCAGCCCTGGCCAAAACTGCCAAAAAAAAAAAGTAATCCTCTCACCTCAGCCTCCTAGGATTATGGGCTGGGGCACCATGCTGGGCCCTAATTTACATTTTTTTTTTGAAACAGAGCCTCAAGCTGTCACCCTGGATAGAGTGCAGTGGCATCACAACACATAGCAACTTCCAACTCCTGGGCTCAAGTGAGTGTCCTGCCTCTGCCTCCCAAGTAGCTGGGACTACAGGCACCTGCCACAACACCTGGCTATTTTTTGGTTGCAGCTGTCATTGTTGTTTGGTGGGCTGGGGCTGGATTCGAATCCGCCAGCTCAGGTGTATGTGGTTGGCACCTTAGCTGCTTGAGCCACAGGTGCTGAGCCCTGATTTACTTTTTTTTTTTTTTTTTTTTTTTGCGCTTTTTGGCTGGGGCTGAGTTTGAACCGGCCACCTTCGGCATATGGGGCCAGCACCCTACTCCTTTAAGCCACAGGCACTGCCCCATGATTTATATTTTTAAATAAGCAACCTGCCTGCTGTGTAGTAAAATGGATTGAAAATGGGAAAGAGTGGAAGAATGAAGACCAACTGGGAAATTATTATAGTAGAACAGTCCAGAGACAGCCTGGGTTAAGGTGATAGCAAGAGATTTGAAGGTAATTAAATGGCTTCAAGATTAATATTGAAAGTAAAGCCACAGAATTTGGTGATGTATGAATTTAGGAAGTGGGAGGGAAGAAATCAAGAATACCTCTCAGTTTTTCGACTTGACCAGCTAGATGGGTGTCACTCAATCTCCAAAGACCAGAGAAACAGAGTCAACAGTATATATATGAGGGTTGTTGTAAAGCAGGTGTCCTCAAACTACAGGTGGCGGGCCCGGTCGCTGCCTGTCCTACTTAGCCGTTGACTTGTCCAGGATCCCACAGTCCGGCTCTCCAGCGGTCTGAGGGACAGTGAACCGGCCCCCTATTTAAAAAGTTTGAGGACCCCTGCAAAGTATTCAGCCACACAGTATGAAAAATAGACCTGGGGCGGCACCTTGGCTCAAGGAGTAGGGTGCCGGCCCTATATACTGGAGGTGGTAGGTTCAAAACCTAGCCCTGACCAAAAAAAAACAAAAAAACAAAACTGCAAAAAAAAAGAAAAATAGACCTGGATGGATATTTTCCGGACAGCAGGGTATTGGCTCACATGATTGTGGGAGTTGGTAAGAAGGAAATCTTCAAGGAAGGCAAGCAAGATAGAGACCCAAGGAAGATTTGATACAGGAGGTGGAATCTTAAGTGCGGGGAAGTTAGTAGAAAGGTCCCTTGTCTTCTCCTAGTAGGGAGACCTCTTAGTAGAGAGGTCTCCTTGTCTTCGGACTTGCTTCTCCTAAAGTCTTAATTTGGACTGACTGGATAAGGTCCATCCTCATTACGGAGGGTAATCTACTTTACTCAAAGTTTACTGATTTAATTATTCATTCATTCATCCATCCATTTATTTATTTATTCTTTTTTTTTTTTTTTTTTTGAGACAGAGCCTCAAGCTGTCCCCCTGGGTAGGGTGCCAGTGGCATCACAGCTCACAGCAACCTCCAACTCCTGGGCTCAAGTGAGTCTCCTGCCTCAGCCTCCCAAGTAGCTGGGACCACAGGCGCCTGCCACAACGCCTGGCTAGTTTTTTTGGTTGCAGCCATCATTGTTGTTTGGCGGGCCTGGGCTGGATTCGAACCTGCCACCTTAGGTGTATGTGGCTGGCGCCTTAGCCACTTGAGCCACAGGTGCCGAGCCATTTATTTATTTTTGAAACAGAGTCTAACTCTGTTGCTGGTAGAGTGCCATGGCATTATAGCTCACAGCAACCTCAAACTCCTAGGCTCAAGCAATTCACTTGCCTCAGCTTCCTGAGTAGCTGGGATTCAGGCGTCCCCCGCAATGCCCGGCTATTTTTTAAGAGACGAATCTCGCTCTTGCTCTGGCTGGTCTGGAACCTGTGAGCTCAGGCGATCCACCAGCCTCCCAGAGGGCTAGGATTAACAGGTGTGGGCCAACGCGCCCCGGCCAAAAGATCGCATTTATAAAATGTTTATTTGCACACTCTCTGAAAAGATACATATGAAACAGCACAATGGTTGCCACTAGAGCAGCGTGTGTCTACGCTTTTGTTAACATGTCCCAAGTAAAGAAAATAACAAAACAAAAATCAAAATACATGAAAACTTAAAACTCTGCAGAGCACCCCAATCGCCCAAGGAGAAGTTAGCCCATTTTAAGCCCTTTATAATCGGTTTACCTGCTCAGTTTATCTCCTATTGCTCCAGTCAGTTAAGATATCACAGGAGTTCTTTCTACCGGAAATGCGCTTGAGCAAATTTCACTTGATCTCTTCAAACTTCAGTTTAGCCAGCTGCGTGCTTCAGAAAGCCTTTCCTGCATCCTCTGGCCCTCCGCCGCCGTTCGTGTTACCTTTTAACATTTAACCTCATAATGCTTCTTTTTGTCTCAGTCATCACTGTGCACTCCGCCGCGACAGCTCCTCGATAGCTCTTCCCCTCACACACACACACACTCACTCCCGGTTGCTTATACATTTGTATCTTTGCTACTTGATTTAGGCAAAGCCACAGCTTATGCCTAGCACCAACAGAGAAGTTTCTAAATTGTCCTGCGAAAGAAAAAAATCAATTTGCTGGCCTCAAGGGGCTCACTGGAAGGATAGTTTCCAGGACTGGGGCTCTCTTATCCCTTTGCGACTAGCTCGAGGCTTGTTTGCTAGGAAGGCTGCCAAGAACTCGGCCCTCTCCACTCGCTCCTCCACCAGCGCCTAGAGCGCGCGGGCTTCGAGTGATCCCCTCCCAGGTAGCGCGCGCCTACACCCTCCGAGAGTCCGGGGGGGCCCAGCCAAGCCCCTACGGGCGGGCGCGGTGTTCAGAGCTCTCGTAGCGCAGCGTGAAGATGGGAGCGGGAGACTCCTCGGTATAAGCCAGCCGCCAAGGGCTCTGCGATCACAGAGACCAGAGCTAGGGTGCATCCGCGGGTCGGAACGGGGATGGGGCTGGCAGGAGAGGGAAGGCGAGGACTGAGGAAGGCCAAGCGCCAGACAAGGGACCTCTCTACTAACTTCCCCGCACTTAAGTTTCCTGCCGGGGTCCAAGCTGGGGCGGCAGTCTCCTCAACCCCCAAGCTCCAGAAATATCCGGCGTCCTGTACACTCTGCTCAGCCAGCCGCGAGTCCACGCCCCCTTCCCGCCCGCGCGCGTCGCCGCCGCAGCCGCCAGAAGGGGCGGGGCTTCAGGTCTGGCGCACATTCAGCCACGGTCCCAGCCTGCCCCGCGCCGGCCAACGAGAGCAAACCCAGTGACTCACCTCCGCCGCGACAGCTCCTAGATAGCTCTTCCCCTCACACACGCTCACACCCGGTTCGAGATGGCGGCGGCAGCGGCAGCGGCTGGGGACTCCGACTCCTGGGGTGAGGAGTCGTTCCGGGGGCAGGGCCCGGGCGGGCGCTGGCCTCACGCCGAGTCAGGCACTAATCCGGCTCGCTCTCTTCCGTAGACGCGGACGCATTCTCGGTGGAAGATCCCGTGCGGAAGGTCGGGGGCGGCGGCACCGCCGGCGGGGACCGCTGGGAAGGCGAGGACGAGGACGAGGACGTCAAGGTGGGTGCGGGCTGGGGTGCCCGGCAGCGTGGGAGCGGGCTGGCGCTGTCGTGGGCAGGGTCGTCCTCCCGCAAGCGGACAGGCGGACTCTGGGCCCAGGGGCGTCGCCCGGGCCTGCGGTCCGTGGGTCCAGGCGCGAGCGTAGGGCCTGGCAATGCCGTCTTTCCCTCTGCTTGCCGGCCATGTGGGCAGGAGACGGGCGGCATGGCCTCTTGAACTCCCTTCCTGAAGGTGGTGCCTTGGGCCCCAGCCCTTTGAGGGTCCGCGCCCGGGCCTGGATCCCACCCGCCAACTGGCGAGGAGAGGTGACAGCAGCGGCCGGGCTGGCCCACGTGCAACCTTCGTGGTCCGGAGCTTCTCGCTGGAATGAGACTAGAAAGTTGGGGATTTAGCCCCATGGTTTATCCCATATGGGAAGTCTCAAAACTGGCCTGCCTCTTGGACCTCAGGTTTGCCCAGGGCTCAATTATGACCCCGAAGGTCCATTTATGGAGTTCGAGCGGTTGGATGAGTAAAATATGTGGCTTAATTTCAACCTTTTTTCCACACCAGACGAATAAAAACAGTAAGGTAGAATAACTTAGTTCTCCCTTCCCCCATCCGGTGGTAAAAAGGATGAACTGAGCACTGAGGTAGCCCACTGTCAGTGGACAGACGTGTCCATACAGTGACCTAGAAAATGAAGAGCTGACTGTTGTTAATCTATGTATGAACACGAAATCTAAGGAAATATTGGAGTTTGAGTGATTGTAGTAGATGACGGCCCTGTGTTTGTTCTTCTCTATGCTTGTAGGTGTGAACCATTTTTACCTTCCTCTTCTGTTTTTGAAGACTTTCTTGAGGGTTTATCATACGGCTTTAGATGACGTTTACCTTTGCAGGGTTTTATTTATTTATTTGCACTAGATACAAAAGTCTTTAGGATGTTAAGACACTTAACAAAGTTCTCTAAAGCGTGTCATTTTTGTGCAGATAAAAGTTTTATGTGAAATGGAAAATGGTTTTTCATGGTTTCGACTGAATGTTTTACTCTCAAGCACCTTTTACTTCTTTTTTATTTATTTATTTTTTTGGTTGTGGTTGTCATTATTGTTTGGCAGGCTGGGGCTAGGTTCAAACCTGCCAGCTCAGGTGTAGATGGCTAGTGCCCTAGCTGCTGAGCTTTAGGTGCCGAGCCACTCAACCACCTTTTAGTACAAACTGAGAACCCTATAAATCCTGCTTGGGCTAAAAATTTTAAGCTAGGTAATCACTGTAAACTTAATAGTGCTCTTGTTTGGGTTTGTCCATTTTCTCCTGAGTCTAATGAGGTGGATGTCCAGTTTACCAAACAATCTGAGGTTCAGGAATGAACTGAGCTTTGCACACATTGGAGTTAATAAATGAGCAGTGCTATTATTGACTGAAAATACTTAAATGCCTCATTTCCATGTCATGTAAACATGAGAATGGATGGTGTTGCCTGCCTCATTACAAGATAGTTACTCCCTACTTTGTAGCAGATTTGCAATCTTGAGACTTGGGTTCAGATTTTTCCTTTGATTTTTTTTTCTGGGAAGTGGCATCTTATATGGAAATTAGGAATAAGTTAACAAGTAGTGGCTCTGCGCCTGTAGCTCAAGCGGCTAAGGCGCCAGCCATACACACCCAAGCTGGCAGGTTTGAATCCAGCCCGGGCCTGCCAAACAACAATGACAACTACAAAAAATAGCCGGGTGTTGTGGCAGGTACTTGTAGTTCCAGCTACTTGGGAAGCTGAGGCAAGAGAATCTCTAGAGCCCAGGAGTTGCAGGTTGCTGTGAGCTGTGATGCAGCGGCACTCTATCCAGGGCGACAGCTTGAGGCACTGTCTCAGAACAAAAAAACAAAAACAAACAAACAAACAAATTAAAGTACAAGATTAAAGATAACCAGGAGAGAAGTCTCAGAAAATGTAGTTTGAATGGAGTAGTCTGTACTGAGTATCGTGAAATAGCCTGCCTGGAATCTAAGTGATGGCAATCCTGATGTAATTCTGAGCATGTGGATCTAATTTTGGAGATTTACAAGTTGTAAGAGATCATAAAGACCATCTTGCTGAGGCACTCAATGTAGAATTTCCTTTATATAAATAACCTGTTTCTTGATTTACATAAACTTTGAAGTAGACCTTGGAGCTTTGAAGCTCAGCTTGTACATTATATTCCCCTGTTGAAACGTTGGTTTATTTCTGATGAGTTTCTCTCAAAGCCTCAAGATACGGTATTCATAGAGTAGTTTGATTCCTGGATTTGGAGTTGGACTGGGTTTATATAGCTGCTTTGACATTTTCTAAATTTGTGATAATAAGCAAATTATAATTTCCCAATCTGTAAATGATCATTATAAGACCTACATCATAGTTATTTTGCATTTTAGATATGATAATATGTCAAACCTAAGCAGGGCTGTCTAGTCCTTGTTAAGCATTTAGCAAATGTTAATTTCCTTCCACTTTATGTCTCAATTTTTTTGGTTAATGGAAAATAAGTTTGGGTTATTTAGGTGTAGTATTGGGGGCTTATTTTGTGTCACATTTTATAATTTCTGAAAACCAGAAGGAATAAGTTCCCTCTATAGTGTCTATTTACTGTGAATTTTGTGTTTTGAGTGGAATAATGATAGCTACCAAGAAATTTTTCTTGCTCATAGGTAACCAATCTATAATTGAATTTTGTCACCCTGGATTGTAGTGAATCATGTCACCACTTTCCTGAATTCTAACATTTTATTCTTTAATTTTATTTATTTACTTATTTATTTATTTTTGAGACAGAGTCTCACTCTGTCTCCTTGGGTAGAGTGCTGTGGCATCATAGCTCACAGTAACTTCAAACTCTTGAGCTCAAGCAATTCTCTTGCTTCAGCCTCCCAAATAGCTGGGACTATAGGCACCTATTATGATCTCCGGCTAGTTTTTTAGTAGAGGGCGTGCCTTGCTCCTCCTCAAGCTGGTCTCAAACTACTGAGCTCAAGCAGTGCACTACCACTACCTTGGCCACCCAGAGTGCTAGGATTACAGATGACAGCCACCATACCCAGCCTATATCACCATCTTAAAGGTGCTTAACCTTTAGCAATAGAGGTTTATGCCTGTAATCCTAGAACTCTGGGAGACCAAAGCAGGTGGATTGCCTGAGTTCACAGGTTTGAGATTAGCCTGAACAAGAGGAAGACCCCGTCTCTAGAAATAGCCAGGTGTCCTAGCTGTCGCCTGTAGTCCCAACTACATGGAAGGCTGAGGCAAGAGACTTACTTGAACCCAAGAGTTTGAGGTTGCTGTGAGCTATGATACCATGGCACTCTACTGAGGGTGAGGTGACAAACTGAGATTTTGTCTCAAAAAAAAAAAAAAAAACCCAATATAGGTTAGGGCCAGGCACTGTGGCTCACACCTGTAATCCTAGCACTCTGGGAGACCAAGGTGGGTGGATTGCCTGAGTTCAGGAGTTGGAGACCAGCCTCTAAAAGCCAGGCATTATGATGGATGCCTGTAGTCCCAGCTACTTGGGAGGCTGAAGCAAGAGAATCACTTGAGCCTGAGAGTTTGAGGTTGCTGTTAGCTATGACATGAGAGCACTCTATCAAGGGCCACAAAGTGAGATTCTGTTTTAAAAAAAAAAAAAAAAAAAA